TATGTAGTATGTTGTATGGTTGTATGTATGTATGTATGTATGTATGTATGTATGTATGTATGTATGTATGTATGTATGTATGTATGTATGTATGTATGTATGTATGTATGTAGTAATGTATGTATGTATGTATGTATGTATGTATGTAGTAATGTAGTAATGTAGTAATGTATGGTGTAATGTATGGTGTAATGTATGGTGTAATGTATGTATGGAGGTAGTATGTAGTATGTAGGTATGTGTGTATTGTTGGTGTATGTGTGTAGTATGTATGTATGTATGGAGTATTGTATGTATGTATGTATGTATGTATGTATATGTAGTCGTATGTATGTATGTATGTTTTTTATTTTATGTATGTATGTATGTATGTATGTATGTATGTATGTATGTATGTATGTATGTATGTATGTATGTATGTATGTATGTATGTATGTATGTATGTATGATGTATGTATGTATGTATGTATGTATGTATGTATGTATGTATGTATGTATGTATGTATGTATGTATGTATGTATGTATGTTTTCAATATATATATATATATACATATTTTATATATTATATATGTATATGTGTTTATATGTTAAATTTCACGAGGTCTTGGGGTTTTGGGATTCTTAGGGTATATTGGGTTTCAAAGTCAAAATGCATCATTTCGAGCAACCTGCGCGCAGAAGGGTCGTGAGGAAAAGTGTTGAATGTTGTGATCTTTGTTGAATCAGTGGTCCACAGGTCCAACTGGCGTTTCAGAGAAACTGAAACAGCCGGAAACAGTCGGAAACAGTCGGAAACAGTCGGGAGCGGCCCGGCGTGATCATGCCAAAATTGTCAATACGCCATTTTTTTGCAAAAAAAACCTTTCCGCGCAATCCCTCTTTTTTTTTGAAAGTGCCGCGGGAAACAGTTGGAAACAGTTGGGGCTCGTACCTTTGACTCGGCAAAAAAAGAGCTATTTAAAACCAGTTTATAAAGAAAATGAACCTTAAATGGTTCTAAATAGCTCTTTTTTTGCCGAGTCAAAGGTACGAGCCCCAACTGTTTCCAACTGTTTCCCGCGGCACTTTCAAAAAAAAAGAGGGATTGCGCGGAAAGTTTTTTTTGCAAAAAAATGGCGGATTGACAATTTTGGCATGATCACGCCGGGCCGCTCCCGAAAGTTTCCGACTGTTTCCGACTGTTTCAGTTTCTCTGAAACGCCAGTTGGACCTGTGGACCACTGATTCAACAAAAATCACAACATTCAACACTTTTCCTCACGACCCTTCTGCGCACAGGTTGCTCAAAATGATGCATTTTGACTTTGAAACTCAATATACCCTAAAAATCCCAAAACCCCAAGACCTCGTGAAATTCAATATGTTTATATGTATATGCCTGGGTAATTACATATTTATATACACGTATATATGTATATGTATTATATATATGTATGAATATATATATGTACGTATGTGTATATATATATATATATGTTTGCATACTTACATATACATATATATTTATTTATATGCAAGGAATCACCTTGTACAGAAACGAACCCCAGTGGGTTGCTTCATCTCCTGCATGTTCCATGACATGTTTCCATCCCCGAAAGTGGGAAGGGAAGAAAAAGAAGTACACTGAAACAATGATATTAGGTTGAACAGTGTTAAGCATTGAAACCACACATGAATAAATCATGATAAGTACACTACAAACTTCCATTGGTTTGAACAGTTTACCAGACATTCTGAATTGCCGATGGACGAATTGCACCGACCCTGGCAGGTGATTACAAGGGTTGCTTGGCTGATTAGGACACCCCCAGCAGTCAATTTTCTGGGGATTATGATGATACATCAGTGGGTTTAGTGTTTATTACCCTCTGGTTATTTAACAGTTCGCCATGGGAAATGGCCCCAATCGAAATAGATGGTTTACCGAACTTAAAAATTGTGATTTTAACCAGATGGTATTTCTACTTTTGGGCCCCAAATCCAACAAGACTTGGGCTTTGAATCACTGCTGACAGAAGGATCATCCCGAGGATAAAGTGGTCATGGTGATACCTAACAGTTATAACCCACTGGAGGGTATATATACATATAGAATACAATATATATATATATAATACATTATATATATAGAATATTATGGGATGTCAATTGGAGATATAACCAGAGTTATAACTTGGTACTGTAGGTATAACCATAGTTATAACTCATCTATGCGTGGGATAACCCAGTTTTGCGAACATTGCCATCACGTTTGAGTCTATTCTGTTCATGTTGCAACTTGGGTACCATATAGTTGAACCCATACCCACGCGCATTCCGGTGTCCTATCAATGGTTGGTTCGGAATCCAGAACCACTCTGTCGACACTTTCCAAGGGTGAACATCACCACCATCATGTCCCCTGCGCTGCTCAGGTTATACCGATGAGAAGCATGAAGAGTTGTAGATCTGTAGCTTGATGGAGCGAGAAATTCTGGGGCCTGGTGAAGTCGGATCAAGCACCAATAAGTATAGCTTGTGCATGCTGTCAAAAGGAAATATACTGTAAGCAGTGTGTGCTTCCTTTTAGCATAATCATGATCTATTTATATAGATGCGCCCTGGAGTTAGTTGACTAGTTAGTAAATGTAGTATAATTGTTTTTTTGGGTTTATGACCCAGTTGCTAATCGGTTAGCTAGTCCCATGGCCCATCTAAGTAATCTTAGTTGTTTATGGGTTTGTTGCAACATATGGTAATTATTTGTAATTATCAATCATATAACATTGGTTTATCATCATTTCAGGGGTTCTTAAAATGGGGGATCCCCAAGTTTTCATTGGTTTCAAAACCATTATCATCATTATCAATATTCTCCCATTATATACATTAATTAGATATGAAAAACTCATCCCAAGTCATGGTCCTCCATGACTCCTCGATCCATCACGAGCCCATCACGAGCGCCTCGTTGCGAGGCCTGTTTGGCACCGGGCAGTTTCCATCCTCAAGTGACAGGTCAAAGCTTGATGCAGCAGCATGAGAAAGGGCGCGGCTGGCCGTTGCTTGTTCTGGGCGTGAGCCGGGGGTAGCACAAGATACAAAGTAATATGAGTCATACATAGTCATCTAATTTTATATTTATGATCTAATTAGAAATCATTAGAATATTCACTAGTTATCATACTACATCTTAT